AACTAAAAAAAACAACAAACAAAAAAGTGCATGTGATATTAACAGACGAACTACGCTCATATTTATAATCACCAAACAATCAGCAAGCGACAGGTGCTAGGAAACGCTGTTTTGTACTCATTTATTGACGAGTTGGCTGCGTTGCGGCCAACTGAATGCGCTGCTTCTCTGCCGCTCACTGTGTCGCGTTCCGAACGTTGTTTAAGCGACATACTGCGGTACTTTAAAAATTCATATCATAACAAAAATAAACACCGGTATTCGGTATGAACCGGTATACCGCCCAGCACTAATTTTGATATGCATGTATAGAGAGAGAAAATATCTTATCGAAATCATTGAATTATTATATTTTAAGTTGAAATTCCAATTTCATGTTTTTAAAATTAATAATAATAATAATAAACTCATTTAGTAACTAGCCAATGGAGTTGACACTGTTAAACATATCTTAATTCATTGTGAATTTACTGTATTACCAGGTGTTAGAAGAACAATCATAAGCCTAAAAGCGTGATTTGTTGATGGATATGTTGTTTCAGGAGTAATAAATGATATGGATCTAGAAACGTGTTCAGTTTGGTGATACTTTATCATACTGTTATAATATTCAGTCTAAGCAATGTGGTTTTTCAGGTGAAGTCGTGTTTGGCTCTGGGGACCGGGTCTGTGATGACAACCGCTTGCGCTGGGATCTCACTCCCGACCGGATCCAGCAGCTTACTGAAGAACTTACTGCCAAGACCAAAAAGGTGTATGACATGGTCGGTGCGCTGGACGTGTCCAGTGTCAGCTACGAGAACACCCTGAAGGCCCTCGCTGATGTGGAAGTGGAGTACACAGGTATCAGTTCATACTTTTTTAAATACACTTTGCTGAAAAAAACTGTCGTATATACAAGCTACTGCATACTGTCTGTTGTCTGATTGAGTTTATTCCTTCAGTGAAAGACCTATTAGTATAATTCTAAAAATGCCCCTCTTCAAAAGTTAAGAACAACTTTTATATTGTTAGTAATATTTCAAGATGAACACTTGGTGTACTGTAGTAACTTAGATTTACTTGATTATCCATACATCACATTTGAGTAAAAAGCATATTGAAATGTGAGTATCAAATATACGTAAGGCTTTTGATGAACGTTTATTTTTTACATCTTTCAATCATCACCGATGTATTTTTTCCTTCTCAAGTATGAGCTCCATTATTCTTCTGTGTCATAGAGGCATAAAAACCTGATGTATTAAATCTGATGCTCAGTATATACAGTATAAACTGTTGAATGTTTAACAATAATTTATTATATAATTATATAGTGGATATAGTTTAATTTATAACTTAATATATTTGTTATTGTTTATTCATTGTTGCAGTTATTAATTTATTTATTATTATTAAATATTGCTTTGGTATGTTGCACACAAAATGATTCACCCCATGTGTGTAGAAAGGTAAACGGAGGTCTTTAGAGGACAAATATGTCTGTCATAAATAATAGATACAAATATTTTTTCCGGCTTTCACTGACACTTTTTTTTTTTTTTTAACCAACATCAGTCCTGATTATGACTACTAAAAATTCATTCATTTTCAGAATTTTAACCCTTTAAATGCCAGTTTGTTTACATAACGCCACTGTTTTTTTTTAATGAAAAAAAAAACATATTTTCCATAGGCTAAATGCTTAGAAAAAAATTGGCCTTTTTTTAAGCAGAAGCAGAAAAAGTAAGCAGAAAAAAAAGTGTGAATGAAAGCCTTTTAATGAAGAATGCTTGATTTTATGCTTGCATGGTACTGGTAAATATTGTAGTTTTAATGGGTGATTTAATGGGACATTTTTGTCCTTAAAGTACCTGTAAAATTGCTTACGTAAACAGCTATTTTTTTCTTCTTTTACATGTAGCTTTGAAAATAAGAGATGATGGGTGTAAATGCTTTTATTAGGGGGGCTCCCTGAGGATTTCCTCAACTCTCTGGAGAAGGATGAGTCTGGAAAACTGAAGCTCACTCTGAAGTATCCTCATTACTTCCCCACCATGAAGAAATGCTTCGTCCCAGAGACACGGAAGAAGTTAGAGGAGGCTTTCAACTCGCGCTGCAAACAGGTCAGATATCCCAGAAATCACCTGTAACCAGAACTAGAATTCTACCCAATGACACTATGTGGGCGATGCTTTAAAATAATTCCAGTGAATCGTTTTCATAGTGTTACTGTAATGATTCCCCTGACAGGAGAACTCCGCTATCCTGAAGGAGCTTGTAGAGTTGCGCTCTCAGAAGAGCAGCCTGCTGGGCTTCAGCACTCATGCCGACTTTGTGCTTGAGATGAACATGGCCAAGACCTCCAAGACGGTTGCAACTTTCCTTGGTAATGATTGAGATCTTCACGTGGAAATTTGCCTAGACATAAAAAGACAAGAATCTCACATATATAAAATGGCAAAGTTGAGACTAGAGCTGAAACTCTTAAAATGTGGTTATAGTGTGGAAAAGCAAGCCTTTGAGAAAATCTTTTTTTTAATTTATTGTAGCAAATTAGCTCAGATGAAATGTATATAAATAATTACAATTAATTAATCACAATTAATAATAATTACAATTATTTATATCAGCTGCCAGTAATAACTGTAGCAGAATTAATATTACCATCAACTAATCTGTTCGTCCAGCGAACATTGTGTAATTTCATATCAACTTTAAGAAATGATATTTTTGTGGCCATAGAAAATAACTTTCTTACAGTACTAGTTAATAAGAGCATGTAACAAGATCGGATCGTAAAAGTGACATTGATTTACAAGCAGTGACAGAATCTGAAACTCATGTAATTTGTGTACAAAAAGTTTTAGTTACTAAACGCTAACACATAACTAATCTAACAAACATACACACACACACTCATGCATGCATACAAAGGGGAGTTAAAGTGGATGAATGAAACCATTAGAGAAACCAGAGAATGCAGCTATGGAAAATGAGTCAGTTAACCGTCTGAGCAGAAACCATCAGCGGGGTCTACAGCTTATTTGTTTCATTTAGTTAAATGTACGATACTTGCATTGCCTTGGCCGTTGAACGAGCATCCGGATGCAGTCTAGGATGAAAGATACCAAACACACATCCGTAGATACCAAACATGCTATAGGTGAGGTTATATTAGCTAAGGATTCATAACGCATGCATAAAACAGTATACAATACAAAAGACAATATACAGGAACATAATAATACACACAATGATGGTGATATGCATGTTAATTCATAGAAAGGTTTGGCTATGAATTAATGAAAGAAGTCTTTTCCTATGGGCAGTATGTGTCTGTTTCGAAGTGACTTCCAGTGGGCTATAAAGCCAGCCTTATCTTTAATGTGTCCTGGCTGCGATGGGGAATCATTCACAGACATCCTGGCACCCAGTCTGGTTGATGGGTGAGGGGTCTGTTGGATTATTTGTTAAATATAACAAATAATAATGTGTCTGATTTGTCCAGTCGATACATTATTTTATTTATTTATTTATTTGGTAAAATTATGCAAATTATGATTTTTTTCTCCAGCAAGGATGCATTCACTTCCATTATAATTACAAAATTATTCCATTACATATATTTCCATTAAAAAAAAATTCTATTTAACTTTCTATTTATCAAAAAATCCTGACAAAATGTATTACAATTTCCACAAAAGTGTTAAGCAGGACATCAGTTTTCAGCATAATAGGCCTATAATAGTGTTTCTTGAGCAAACCCCCCAAAAAATACATTTCCAAATGTAATTTATTTAAAATAATTAATAATTGTAGCTGTAATTTATTAAAAACATAAAATGAAATGTATATATTTCAGTTAGGAATAAATTACATTTTCAAATATATTAAAAACACAAAACTGTATATTGAAAACAAAATCTTACAAACCCCCCAAAAAATACATTTCCAAATGTAATTTATTTAAAATAATTGTAGCTGTAATTTATTAAAAACATAAAATGAAATGTATATATTTCAATTAAATTGTATACATTTAAATTGTTCATTTAAAAATATCTTACAAACCCAAACATTAGAATAAAGAATAGAATAAAACCCAAACATTAGAGTAAAGAATAGAATAAAAAAAGTGTAATTATAGTAACTATATATTATATTATTCATCTGTTTGGTTGACTTTAGTAATTTATCTTAATCTTTGTTTAACCCTTTGTCTTTCCATTATCCCCTGCACACTGTAGAGGATCTGGCCCATAAACTGAAGCCCCTGGGTGAGCAGGAGAGGGCCGTGATCCTGAAGCTGAAGGAACAGGAGAGCCAGAAGAGGAATCTGCCCTTCACTGGAGAACTCCACGCCTGGGACACGCGCTACTACATGACCCAGGTGGAGGAGACCCAGTATGCAGTGGATCAGAACCAACTGAAGGAGTATTTCCCAATGGAGGTGGTGACCAAGGGCCTACTGGACATCTATCAGGAGCTGCTCAATCTCAGCTTTCAGAAGGTGGAGGGCACACCTGTCTGGCACGATGACGTTACGCTGTACTGTGTTAAAGATCGCACCTCCGGGCAGGTCATTGGCCAGTTTTATCTGGATCTTTTCCCCAGGTGAGCACTCATACTTGTATGGTTCTGGTGGTCATGCTGGGGGATCTGAAAATTTGTCTCAAATTGGGCTCCAGGGGCTGGATTCATGAAAACATTCTTAGAAATAAAATTCTTATATGAATATATATTATATTAATCTTGTATAAATTAAGACAACAGGTTAAGTAGAAATATCATGAATATATAATATAGTGCATATATTTATCAAAATCCTCCTCTCTAGAGTTATTTTACTAGTTAACTAAAGAGCTATGGACATTGAATGGCTTTCCTGAGATAAATGTAATTCTACGGGACATTGTTTACAAGCTGTTACATTGACGTGTTTCCACAGTTAAAACACTGACTGATTACTTGTAACATGATACATTTCAGTAAGTCATGCTGTTTCTTTCAGCATACCTTGAACTGAAGGAGATCTATCTGTCACACCACATTAAAGAGTGTCAAAACGACATTTAATGTTTGAGTTTTGTTATAAAATTGACAATTCGAAAGCTAAGACTTAGAGCTATGGACATTGAATGGCTTTCCTGAGATAAATGTAATTCTACGGGACATTGTTTACAAGCTGTTACATTGACGTGTTTCCACGGTTAAAACACTGACTGATTACTTGTAACATGATACATTTCAGTAAGTCATGCTGTTTCTTTCAGCATACCTTGAACTGAAGGAGATCTATCTGTCACACCACATTAAAGAGTGTCAAAACGACATTTAATGTTTGAGTTTTGTTATAAAATTGATAATTCGAAAGCTAAGACTTTGTTTCATATCAGAAGTAACAAATGTTTATTGAAGTTTTGTTCAGACATCAATTTAAATCAGCATAGACAAACCATCTTAGTTCATCAAAATGATGATAGATTAAAAATAAAAAAGAGACACAGACACCGTGAATTACACCACCGGAGAATCGCATTTATTGGAGGCCGGCCGAAACAAATATTTTTGGTTGGCTAAATATTGGTGCATCACTATTTGAAGATTTGATTTTCATTGAGTTGAACAGCGAGTCTTCAGGAAAGAACTGCCATACAATCAAACAACACCAAAGCCTGTCATTTTGTTCTTATGAAAAAAATGTCTTAAGAATCATGAATAGTACTTAAGAATTTTACTTATATGAACAATAATATGAACTTCTTGGAATTTATCTTAAAGGGATAGTTCACCCAAAAAGGAAAATGTGCTGTTAATTTACTCACTTCAAGACCAAATCAATACCCATGGCTCCTGACAATACATTAAAGAAATAGTTCACCCAAAAATGAAAATTTGATGTTTATCTGCTTACCCCCAGGGCATCCAAGATGTAGGTGACTTTGTTTCTTCAGTAGAACACAAACGAAGATTTTTAACTCAAACCGTTGCAGTCTGTCAGTCATATAATGGAAGTGGATGGGAATCACGGCTTTGAGAGTCAAAAAAACATACACAAAACCAAATTAAACCCTGCGGCTCGTGACGATACATTGATGTGTAAAGACACGAAATGATCGGTCTGTGCAAGAAACTAAGATATGACTGACAGACTGTAACGGTTTGAGTTAAATCTTCGTTTGTGTTCTGCTGAAGAAACAAAGTCACCTACATCTTGGATGCCCTGATAAACATCAAATTTTCATTTTTGGGTGAACTATCCCTTTAAAGTGTTATGAAGTGAAACGATCGGTCTGTGTAAGAAAATGAACATTATTTACAACGTTATTACCTTTAATCCACAGCCTGGGCAAACGGTTAAGCGTGTTCACGACTGTCTGGAGCGCGATCTTCCTGTCACATAATGACGTGCGCGGGTGCAGACTACCACTTAAGCTGATGGCTGTTTGTTTACAACAGAGGGAGAGCGAAAACTAACATTAGCATCAAGCTACATAACACAATTTTTTTGATTAATATACATTTTTACTCAAAATTCACCATCGAATGTCTGAAACATTTCATTTTCCAATGATTTACATGATTTAAATGAGAATTATCTGCTTCCAGTGCTGTCTGCCTGTGTTTTCTCTTCTGCGATCGCTGTTCTGACTCGTTCAGCTCGTTTGCTGCTCATCTGTCATTCATATTATGTGTTCATAACCTGTCGTGTCTCTTCCAATGATGAAATTACATTACACTTCTGCATACTGTTACTCAGAAAACCCAGAGAAAGGTATCTGCACACGAAGCTCATAACCACATGATTACGATAGAATATGATTTGTAATGTGATTTTCATGAGATTTGGGGTATTTTCATAACAATAAAGAATTTTTACACTAGAAATGCAAGTGGTAGTCTGCACCCACACACGTCATTATGTGACGGGAAGATCGCGCTCCAGACAGTCGTGAACACGCTGAACCGTTTGCCCAGGCTGTGGATTAAAGGTAATAATGTTGTAAATAATGTTAATTTTCTTACACAGACCGATCGTTTCACTTCATAACACTTTAAAGGGATAGTTCACCCAAAAATGAAAATTTGATGTTTATCAGGGCATCCAAGATGTAGGTGACTTTGTTTCTTCAGCAGAACACAAACGAAGATTTAACTCAAACCGTTGCAGTCTGTCAATAATATAATAGAAGTGAATGGGAATCATGGCTTTGAGAGTCAAAAAAACATACACAAACAAAACCAAAT